TGAACAAGATGGTAAAAAATATAGCTAACTCTTTGCCTTGTCCTTAAGAGAAAAAAGAAAAAGTCTTAGTCTGATTGCATTGTCAGAAACACCATTATATTTGAACATATCGCACATTTCTAAAAAGTTAGATAAATATAGATTTGGGTCATTGCTTGGTAACCCTCCAAACTATTCTAAAGTTTAGACCATTTGAATAATCAAAGGTTTTATCTCAAAATTGTTTGCTTTAATTGCCAGCCCTCTTATAGATGGTTAGAATCCATCAACATTAGGAATAGTATAGTCCCTTAATGTTCTATGACCTTCATTGTTTGTATTTGCCATTTGAATTGGTGCTGGTGGTGTTGTTTGCTTTCTTTGTAAACACCTAAAGGTTCTTTCGATTTCTTTGTCAAGCGAAGCTAGGTCAACACTTTTAAATCTATGCATACAAGCAAAGAAAAGATCAAAATAGTTTAAACAAATAAAAGAAAAGTGTTTAGATTACAAAGGAGTAGAAATCTTTATTGATATTATTTGAACACCAATATAATCCTTAGCAATGGTGTCAAAAACTTGATTGCTACCTTTTGAAATGCTTACAAGTGCACATATCATAATCAAGTAATAGTAATGAGTGAGTAGAGTATGGTCCCATAAGGATTATATGATTGAATTATTGGGTGGAATCAAGTACCAAAGGTGATAAACTATCACAAGCCCTATATCCAAACTAATGAAAAGGTTAATTGCATTTACAAAGAAAACAATAAAAGGAACCAAAATATAAAAACCAAATCTTGTATTGGCCTAAACTCAACTTATCCAACTATCACTTGGACAGTATTATATTGTGGCTGAATAAAACTAGATCAAAAGTAAAAGAATGCTTTTGGAAAGATTTGAAGAAAGAAAGATTATTCGTTGAAAGTTTCACATTGCATAAAAGAAAGATTTGAACAAGATTTGCAAGTAATTGAATACTTCAAAAGAAAGATTGTAAAGCTTTCTTAAATGTAAATCAAAACTTTAGAATGGTAAAAAAAATGATTGCTAAAACTATAAGAACATAAAAATATTTGAAAGCCAAAAAGAATGTATGAAAGCTTGAAAATATTGGATCTTGAAAATAAAATAACTCTTTGAATTAAGAAAAGAATTTAGAAAACACTTTAGTTATGGCTAATCTATCACCTTAGCCAAACTACAAAAAAACTATAAAAGAAACTAATAGAACTGAAACTAAGAACTAGAGAATAGAATAATGGAGTAGGATGAGATGTTAGATACTTTGATACAAATAGAGGTTCCCTATTTATAGATAAGGGTTTGGCTATAAAAGAATATTTAGATTACAAAGTTCTTTTCCTATTTAAACTCTAAGAGATAAGTCTATCTTGATCTTAAAAGGAATTGGTCGAACATGGGAATCTTGCACTTTAGAAAGCCTTAGTTGAATGGGCATCTTGGGATTGATCTTAAATGTTCATGTATTCTTGCATGCTTGATCTTGCATTCATCAAGGGTGATTTGGCTAAACATGGTTTATCAAGACCATATATTTGCATTGAATTCAAACTTTTAAGAGAGATCTTGCAAGAGTCTTTCTTCCACAGTAACTCTTTGAAAAGTGATCAAAAAGTTCTTGTCTTATGAAATCTCGTTTGGTCAAATATAATGAAAAGTCCTTCTTCAAGTATAAGTCTTCAATTTTTTAACTGCATATAGGAGTCCTTTTGTAAATAAGATAACCACACATATGTAGGAGTTCTAGTTTAATTAGGATTCTTTAATCCAAGTAAAATTAAGAAACCAAATACAAATGGGATTTGGCTATTCTTTTTCTAACATGGCCGAACAAGACAATGATTAAGCTTGTCCTAAACTTTCATAGATCTTGCATGAAATACTCGTCCCATCTACATTAAACCTAAAAATCAAGAAAGCACCCAATAAAGGCCCCAAATTCAAAAGTTAGGTGTTTAAAAATTTCTATGTTGATTTTGGGTTGCTGAAAATAGCTAAGGATTGGGATCTTTATGTAATGGTGAGGAGTTATACATTTGTAGCCAATACCATCATCGATACAGCAAGTACTAATCTCCCAAGCAATGATTTCACAAATGAGAATGTAGTAGTTGACGTGAAGACCCGTTGGCTTGCTTGGCTTCTTTGACATTTAAGGTAGAAAATGAACCTTTTTCATGTCCTAATCTTTCATAGCATAGGAAAAATGGTTCTTTGAGAGATTTTTATAAACCTTTTTTGCCATATGTTGACCCCACCAACATCAATAGTAATTAGCTTATAGATCTTAGCTTTTCAAGTTCTATTCTTAAAGGCTCTAGTAGTGAACAACATCAACATCAAAGGTTATTATAGCAGCATGAACAACCCACCATCACAAGTAGTAGCATTGGGATTAGCTCCCCATTGACTCCCACCTTCCATTTTATTTTGGTTTTTTTTGCCAGTATGGAAACCAATAACAACCACACCATATATAAGAATAACCACAATCATAGTAGCAAATTAATCCATTACACCGACAATAGTAGCTACAACAAGTTGTTCAACAACATGAAGTTCCAAGGCTTGCTACTATCCTTCTTTCAGCAAACCTGTAATTTTAGGCACCAAGCACCAAGATCAAGAAAAAGGTAAACAAACGAGCCTTTTTTTTGGGTTCATTTTTTTTTTGTTCCAAAGATTAAAGCTTTGCAATTTTTCCTTAACTAAAAATCATCCATTTTTCTCGTTTTATAGGAAGAATTAGGAGAAAAAAATTGTATGCCATGTAACAGTAGATAAGTTGTGCTAAATCTAAATCAGCGTTAAAGTGCTACATTAGTTGGCTTTTATTCTTTTTACGTGTTATTACTGTGTATATTTCACAGCAAAGTTTTTGTTGAAAAAGACCTTACGTTATTATAAGTCAATAGCGTTTAATCCTTATTTGTATAAATTGAAAAGTTTAGTCCTAATTGAACAATCACCCAAATGTTTAATTCTAAATTGAGCATTTGGCCTTTTAAAATTTATCAAATAATTTATTGCTTTAAAATCAATAAAATTTTTCAATAGTTTGGTAAAATTTTATTTTAAGATTTAAATCCTTTAATAGTTTTATAAGATTAAAAAATATAATTAAACCTTTCAATAGTTCGATAATATTTGATTATAAGATTTAAATTCTCCAATAGTTTAGTAAGATTGATATGCAAAACTTATTTATGAATTTATTTAAAACATCATTAAATCTTTCAATATTTTGGTAAGATTTAATTTGAGATTTAAAATTTTCAATAGGTTGATAGGATTGATTTTATTTAAAATTTTATTTATTTCTAAAAGAGATAATAAAACCCTCAAATAGTTTGGTAAAGTTCAATTTGAGATTTAAATCTTCTAATAATTTAATAAGATTAAAAATATTTTTAATATAAAATTTATATCAAAAAAATTAATTTAAATACATAAAATAAAAAATTTTAAACAAATACAAAAGGAATCAACTTGACTCAATAAAGACGAGGCTTAGCTTGGCTGTAGAGACAAAAAGAAGTGGCTTGCTACTTTGCTTGACTTGATAGGTGGCTCGACTTGTAGCAACGGGAACGGGTTAATAGGCAACATTACCAAAACATATTTCCCAAAAATAAATTTTTTGCCTAATACTCACAAATACTTTTTTTGCTCTCTTGCTTATTTTCTTTAATTGTTATGTCCTTTGCATTAATTATGGATCTTTAAATAGGTCTTTAATCCTAACTTCAATAGAATAAGGTTTTCTTGATTACTTCTCCTATCTGAACTCAACCTCGAATTTTTTAATCCAAATATCTTTCTCATCCCATATATATTCCTTTTCAAATTGAACTTTAAATTCAATCACCTCAATTAAAATCCATTGTTCCCCAAACCAATTCAATATGAGACAAACTCTTTTTTTTTAAAAAAAAAAACCATAAATTAATAAATAAACTTAAACTAAATAAAATAAAATACCTAAATCCTATTAGACATCAAAGAGTATGTCTACACTGGTAATTAGGCAAGTCTTTTGAGAATTAAGTTTATGATGAAAAATATATTACAATTCATCAATACTTCTAATTAAAGATCATGTATATCATTTATCCATGAAAATTTTGGGATTCATTATTTTAGTTTCCTCTAATTTAGTATGAATGAACTTTTTTAGTAAAAAATAAAAGACACCCTTTTACAATTAAAAAGAAATGTGAGATTGATTGATTTATAAAATACATATTGACTTTTATTTTTTGGTTTTTTAAGGGGGCAGAACCCTACAACAAGGGGGAGGGGGGGAGGCTGGGGTTTGTCTTCTTAAAACTTGCTTGGCCACTGGTTTTTTGTTAATGTATTCTTTAATGGAAGAAAATATATAAACAACACATGAACATCCTTTAGCTGAATCAGCAAGCAATTTAGTGGTGCAGACTGTGTAAATATACAACTTATGATTGTTGAACACCTATCACCACCACCACCACCACCACCACCACCACCACCACCACACGTCTGCGGCCCTACTGGAACTATGCAGAGTGTGTGAAATATATATCAGCCGATCAAATTGGTGACTAATAATTAAGGTTTTCCATTTTTTCAATTCATCACATTTTTTTCTTTTGATACTTGTGTGAGTCAGAATTTTAACTCAATTATTGAATTTAAGAATTTTATTTCAGCATTCTATCAATGCAAACACGCGGCACATTTTCAAATTAATGGATCCCTGCCCCGGAAACTTTCTTCATGAATGTTCGTTCCCGATATGTAATGATATATCCCTCCACTCATGATCATGATATCATCATTCATTTCCTGTTTCTTGTCTTTTTGGTTTCCACCTAAAACAACCCAAATTTAAAAAAAAAAAAAAAATCCTTGTTAATAGATTAGGGGCATCGAGGTCTGGCAAGAAACACATTGGAATGGACCACGGTCTTCAACAAAACCATCAAACATAAAATCCGCTAGGCGCTAGGGGCATGGAAAAAGAAGAAAAAGAAGAAAAAGAAGAAGCGCAGGAGCTTGTGCATGACAAAGGAAACAATCCAGGAGAAGCCAAGTTAGAGGTCACTGTGGATGAGGTGGTAGAAGGGTATGTGGTATCCTTTTGGTTCTCCCAGCTGCTGCATGTGCTCTTGGTGTCATTGGCATGGATCTTTGATTCGCAGAATACCGTAACCACCATCTTTACTGATGCCCAACTAGCTGCTTGGAGATGCAAAACCCTTGATCCTAAATCTAAATATTATAATAGTACTAGTGCATCAATATCCTCGTCGTTGTGCATAAGCAAGACTAGTACCGGCAACCAAGGGCAATTCGGTTCTGTCTGTGGATTGGAAGCGGGCACTTGGGAGTGGATTGGAGGAAATACGACCTCCACTATTGCTGAGTGGGGTCTTATATGCGACCGCAGGTTTCTTGCTGCTGTTCCTGCTTCCCTCTTCTTTATGGGTTCGATTTTTGGTAAATTTTTATTCAATATCTCTTCCCTCCTTTTTATAGTTTTAGTTTCTCCATTCTTTCCGATGGCTTCATTCATATTCACTCTGTAGTCTAAAATGAATCTGTTCCTACTGGTTTGTATGGGACTAGTCGCAGTTGGGGAAGAGTCGGTCTCCTTTTCGTTCGTTTTCTTTTTAAATTGAATTGTAAAACAAGAAGTTAATAAGCTTTGTGATGAGAACTGAATTAGATTTAATAATTTATGTATTTATATTAGTTTATTACATGTTAAATACATATAAAATATAAAAATTATCTTATCATAATTTGTGTTGACATATCAAATACAAAATATATATTTTTTTATTTTTATCAAATTTATATATGATATTATATAAAATTTTAAATCATATCGCTCTCGTGTCATTTTTCATATTCTGTTTAAAATTACCAAATTTACTTGAAGTTACTATCTATATAATTATCTATATTCATAAAATAAATTTGGTGAATATTTCACTCTTACAAAATAAAATAAAATAACCCTCAATTTTGTTGAAGCAATTTTGAAACAATATTAGTTTTAAGTAAAATACTAAATGCAATCTCATACAAATATTCACCGATTTAAAGAAGCATTGTGTAGAGAACATACAAGCATTATATAGAGAACATACAATGTAAAATAATACTTTCTTTTCTTTTTAACATCTTTTCTACACTTTTATGGCATTGTTTTCTAAAATCTATGTTATCTTAAACTCGCTAAAAATATTTACTTTCATCTTTCGATCTCAATTCCCCTTAACCGATCTCTGTCTCTCTCTTCAAGTTTTTGTTAGTTGTGTTATATCATGTATGACTTATTACTCTGTTATTATTCTTCTTTTTTAGGCGCGACAAGTAAAATTGAATATATATGTTGATCTATTTCTTTTTTTAACGCTTGGAAACATGTACATATATTTCAAACCAAAAGTCAATAATGAGTGAGAAACTAATGATCTTTGCCCACTTCCATGCATAGGATGTGCTTTCTATGGTCGCCTTGCCGACGTATGGTTGGGTAGAAAGAAAACATTGTTGCTGGCATGCATCTTAACCTCTACAACCACTTTCATCACCTCCCTTTCTCCAAATGTTTGGATATATGCGTTTCTCCGATTTGCAAACGGTTTTGCCCGTTCTGGGATTGGGATATGCTGTCTTGTTCTCTCAACAGAAGCTGTTAGCGCAAATGGCGTGGCCAAGTTGGCCAATGTGGCTTCTTTGTCTTCACGGCGGGTTTTCTATCTCTCCCTTTCATTGCCCAACCTACCAGAACCCATTGGAGGAATTTTTACAAGATCATATCCCTTCCTCCTCGTCTCTATACTCTTTTATTAGTCCCGTTTATATCAGAATCAACCCGCTGGCTCCTTCTTCGAGGGAAAAGAAAAGAAGCATTCGATGCATTACAAAAGTTTGCAGGACTCAATGGGAAGAAACTAGCTGACAACCTACAGCTCATAATCCCATCACAAGCCAAAACAGGCAGTGAAGAAGGTGAAAGAGATGCAACGACTAACAAAAACGAAAATCTATGGACTGTAAGATGGGCTGCTCAGAGGATGATTACGATTATGGTGGCTGGTTTTGGAGTTGGATTTGTTTATTACGGAATCCAGCTAAATGTCGAAAACCTCAACTTTAATCTCTACTTCACAGTTGTGCTTAATGCCCTGATGGAGATTCCTGCTGTTTTTATTGGTAGCATACTATTGAGTTTCATAAACCGACGTCTCCTTTTCTCAATGTCTGCAGTTTTAGCTGGCGTTTCGTGTGGTTTTTGCATCATTTTCTCCACCAGAGGAGGCAAAGCAAAGACTGATAGATCCTGTAGGAGCTGGCCTCAGTTGATAATTGAAGCAATTGGTTTCATGGCTGCTTCTATCGCGTTTGATGTCATGTATATTTACTGCGTTGAGCTTTTCCCCACTAACGTGAGAAACTTTGCAGTGTCGCTATTGCGCCAAGCCTTGATGTTAGGGGCTTCTTTATCTCCTTTATTGGTCGTTCTCGGTCGCGTGAGCCCATCTCTTTCCTTCCTTGTATTTGGGGCTTTTTCCATCCTAAGCAGAATTCTAAGTCTATGGCTTCCTGAGACTAGGAATTCTTCTCTTTATGAGACCCTAAAGCAACAAGAAAGGGGAGAGAAACTTCCTTCTCCATCAAATCACTCAGAGGTCCTAGCTCTAGAGCCTGCAAATGAGAAGAATATCGTCCCAGTATAATCTAATCCTCGGAATATGGTCCTAAGTGGTAACTCTAAGATACGCGCAAATGATACTCGCACGTATCAATTAAATGTGCATGTATCTTTAATAAATTTGAATACATAAGATAAGATAAATATGAGAATTATAGATTAAAATTTATCAGTGTTTTATTTTTTTTTAATTCTTACAATCATAATTAAATATTATATCTATATAATCAATTGAATATTCAAACTATTATATCATAATCAGTTAATAAATTATAACATAATTAGACAATCAAACCCATAAATAATGAAATTTGAATAAAAAATCTCAAGATTCTAGGATTTTTTTATTGCCACTAAACCAAAGTTTCATTGATTGTTATGAGTCGACGTTGAATTTTGTCACTATATTTCGATTTTGTTGAAATTTTACAACTATCCTTAATTTTCAATTGTTTTCATTTTTATTTTATAAAATAACAAAATTTATGAAAATTTATCACTTGAATTAAAAAAACTTTTTTAAAAAATATTTCAGTTTCGTTAATTTTATGTCTAAAATTAAAAATATTAAATTTGTAAAGGCAAAAGTTAATAAAACTAAAATGCAATTGTGGTCAAACTCACTATTTAATAATAGTATGGTTACAAATTGAACCTTAATTCCAAATTACAAACAAAAATATAAATTATCACATACTTGTAATTTCCTAAAATTAGATGAGAAGAGAAAGGATGTGGGAGGTTACATGCATAAGCATCAAATTTTACATATTAAAATTGAAAAAATAAATTTGATTTTAAAAATAAATAAAATTAAGGAAAAATTAGAATAGTTGTGAACGATGCAGATTTTATTTCTAGCACTCGTTTTAGTGTTGAGATTCAAAATTGAATTAGAAGTCACCAATGAATTTATTTATATCCTTGGAATCGATGTCCATTTCAAGGTCATAGTCTATCTTTACCAAAAATTTAATTCCAAAATAGTAAATAGGATATTAAAAGAATCAAGCACTAAACCTTGTCTAAGATAAACCCAATCTTTACTTATTCATTTCAGACCAACACTCTGACTTGCTTACGGATTAAAAAGCATGCCTTTCCTTTTTATTTTTGGTAACAACCAATGCATATGAACAATTTATATGCCACGTGCTATCACGCATGCATCTAAAATGATATATATCGGCTGACAACCTTGAGTAATTTATAACCATTAATTATGCAAAAACCATGTTATCAGTCAATAATATTTAAAATATAACAGTTCATACCATATTATTATAAAGCAAGGAAGCGTAACCATAAAAGTATAAAATGCATCCTAGTCTAGATGGCATAGTTAGATGATAGTTTATATAAAAACATGTATTAAGGGTATATTTAATACAACCTATTGTTTTACCCAATTTAAATGATAAGATAATGCATGGTGTATTGTACATGTATTTACATGGTAAAAATTCATTACCTTAAACAAAAAAATAAAATTTAATTTCAATTACATGGTATATCATCATACATTCCTAAGACTACATGATTTGTGATTATGGACAATATGTCAATATGTTCATAATTTAATAAGTGGCTTAAGATGGCTAAGGGTTTGTAAGAATTATACTTGAGAGATCTGCATGATACAATATCCAATATAACAGTGGTAGGTTTAGACCTATGAGCTTGGTGTTGATCAGAGTTTCACATTAACTTGAATTCTTCAAATCGTCAAATAGAGTTTCAACTGGATCAAGACTTCTTAAAAGAATTTTAGTTAGATAGGGACACTTCGGATAGAGCTTTGGTGGAATTGGGACTTTTTAGAACAGTTTTCAAGGATTAAAACTCTTAGGAAAGAATTTTTATAGGATTGAGACTTTTAGAAAAGAGTTTTGGTTGGACTAGGACTTTTAGGAAAGAGCATTTGATTAGGTGTCTAGGCTATGGATGATGTGTTAGAGCGGTGAGGGCAAGGCTTGGAGTTAGTACGGAAGAAATATGTGAAAATGAAACTAGTTAGGTGTTCTAGTAAGGTGGTGTTGATCAGTTAGAAGATGTGCCAATTGCTTAAAAGTCATAACAGTGGTTTTAAAGGTTTTGGTAAACAATTAGATAGAGGGTCAAAAGGTTTTGGGGATTTTGGCCAAGGCTCAAGGCTACTCCAAAGACTAAAAATGACTAAATGAGACTTTTGGAGACTAGAAACAGAGGTTTTGAGGAAAGTTTTTTAAATCTTTGGGAAACAGCTTGGGGAGGCTTAGAACTAAATTTCATAGATAGAGAGAAAATAAGTGCTTAAGGTGTGTGGAATGAATAATTGGAAGGTGCTATTTATAATAAAGATTAAGAGCAATTTGGGAATGAATAAAAGATGATCCCTTTATCAGATAATTAATTCAAAATAATTATCAGATAATTAAATCAAACAAATATCTAGGATTTATTTGAGAGATAATTCAGCAAAATTATCACATTAGCTTTATTTGCATGTGTCAATTGATCAATTGATATAACTACCTATTGACTGGGTCCATTCTCTACTCAAAAAGGTTAAAGTTATTCCTAATTCAAATTGAACTTTTTCCAACTGATCGACGAATGCATGTCGATTGATGGCATTTTTTAGACCTCATTCTAGGACCAAAATAAAACCAATTTACAATCTTGTCCTGAGTTAGCCTAAATTCAACCACTATTGAGGTTGAAATGGGCCTGCCAATTGACTAGTGACTATTGATAAGCCAGCAAACCTTTTTTTTCCCTAATTTTGTTAATTTAAAAAATTAACCAATTGTTCATTAATTTGAGTACAAAATTTAGTACCTACAATGAGACTGCTAATCGGCATTAGCAATGTTCCATTTTTTTCGATAAACATATCCTTTTCCAATCAACCTTTCATGTTTGGAACCTAAGTAAAGTTTAAGCACATGTGTCGACTTAATATAGGAGGCTTTAACTAGTTCAAATTAGCACTTCTCATTGTTGAATGATACACACCTTTTTAATTCTAAAAATTGGAGATTTCTTTCTTGAATCACTTCCTAGAAAAAATTTCTCCCGGACATAGCTTTTGAACCATAGTTTTGCCTATAAATACATCCTTCACTCTTTTGTTTCACATCATCAACACAAAACAATTTAACCTACTTGCTTGTAAGGTCTTTTCAACCTTCGAACCTCTACCTCTAACTTTTTAATAGTTAGCTATAACCTCTTTTTGCCTTTGCCTAAACCTCAAACCACCTTTGCCTCCCCAAATTTCAAACTTTCTTACACAAAGGCAAATTTCAACTACCTATATATCAATAATCATAATTACCAATTGGCAGTCTCTCATACCTTATCACCAAATTTTGATTCTTCATACCTTATCACCAAATTTTGATTCTTTGTTCGCCATTTTTTCTATCAATTCCTGTCTCTTTTGTGATTACTCATCAAATTAAAAGCCAAATTCCATATAATTGAAACTTAAATATTATTTAACCACAATTTAGACTCTACCTAATTTTTCTTAGGAACTCACAATTTTAATAGGACTTGAAACTCTGCCCAAATCAATCTAGCCTACAAGCCCAATAACTTAAGCTATCTTTTGAATAAAAAATGAAATGGGACTGAAAATGGAATATTGATTGGCAATTGCATGTGCCGATTGACCGACCATATTTTAGGTTGAAATTTATGATTAATTTTATATTTTCGAGATTTATTCTTCAAAAACGATATTACCAGCTGATAATTGGCTTTTAGGAGATAAAATCCAAAATAAATCCTACATGGACATAATCTAGATGATAAATGTGATTATTTCTTCAAAATATCTCTTGATAATTCATCCACATGATTATCTTTCTCATATGATAGAGTTCCACTACATGGCTAACACTTAACTTGTTGGGATTTAAACATACATGTATAGAGTATAATGTAGTGAAACTTAATAATTTTCAATCCCTTAAGCCATGGATCATGTTGACAAGAACTAGCACAAACATATGTGCAAAATTGGCAAGAGTAATTTTTGACTTACTTTGCTTTGTGATTATATCAAGAACTCTTCAAAAACCTCAAGCTTGATTGTAGCAAACCAACAATTGTCTAAATTTTCAACCTCTAACAATAATCAACACAAATAAGAAAGGAAAAACCTATATAAGACATGGGAAAAAGTCTAGCTACATAGGCTAGTAAGATGTCACTTACCCTTTTTTTGGTGTTTGCTCTCAATTTGGTGTTAATGTATGAGATGATAGTAAGACTACTCTATGCAAATTGTATCCAATCACCTATAAAAAGGGCAACTATAGTCCTTTAAATAAAGATAGGGCACTCAACCTAACTCATAAGTCCATACTTATAATTGTTATATTGGATTTTGTACCAAACAGATCCTCTCTCAAGTATAATTCCTACAAACCTTTAGGCATCTTAAGTCTCTTATTATCATAATGAGCATGTGACATATCATCCATGATTACGCTTCATGTAGTCTTATGAATGAATGATGTATGCCATTTAGTTATTTTTAGGATTTTACTTATTATTAAAGGTGATGGATATTTTATAATGTAAATTCATGTCTAGCATACTATGCATAATCTTGCCATATAGTTTAGGTCTATAACTGGATTATATTAAATATGCCCTTGAGGCATGTATTAAACTAAAGTCTAAGTATGCCATTTTAGACTAGGTTGTATCACATATTTTCTCTGGTTTTCTTTTATGCCTTCACAATAATAGAATGAACTGCTTTATTTGATGTAATTGTTTGACAACACGATGTTTTGCATCATCTAATGCTCGATAGACCACTCGAGGTAGTCAACCCACATGTATCTTTTTAGATGCATTCATGACAGCATGGGACATATAAATTATACATAAATGCATGCCATTAAAAATAAAACAGAAAGACATGTTCTATAGGAGAAAACTTATATGAAGTTCTTTAGGTGAAATTTGTGAAAATTTTTTTTTTAAAAATGACTTAATAATAACTTTAATAAGAAATCCAAACCAATCGATTGATAAAATTTAATGTAAAGATCAATAATATATAAAAAA